GCCGAATCGGAAAGGTCCTGAACCTACGGGTTGACGTTCAAAGTCTCCGCCAAGGCGCACCACGTCTTCAATGGGCACCACGCTGGCCGCCGGCGCGGCTAGGTGGTAAGGAAAGGGTGCGAATGGGCGGACCAATCGAATCCTCAACACATAGGGATCTTCCACTTCGATTCCGCTCACCGTGTCCACGGTGCCATTCCTAAACGCCTCGGCACCCTCGACCAATTCGAAGAGCCAAGCATTCGGTGAATCGTTCTCTGGGGCCAACAGCCGCTCCCAGGAGGCACGGTAATCGGAGGCTTGGATCGGTCGACCACTGTGGAAAAGAACCCCAGATTTGAGCTGAAAGGAATAGACGAGCCCGTCATCAGACAATAAGAACGGTTCCGCTAGGTCCGCGACCGGCTGATCTGTGGAGCGGTCGAGCTTCATCAAACCGTCAAAGAGGCGATCGATCACACCGCCCGAGGCGGTGTCACCCGCCAGTGCTGGATCGAGGGTCGCGGGGGCCGAAGTGAGCTGGTAGCGGAAGACCTTTGGCTCGGGTTCATTTGGGGCATCACAACCGACGGATAGGACGACTAGACCGATGAGCAAAAGGATCCAATAGGAGGCGGTCTTTGAAGGCATCCGAATCCTCCTCAAGCTTCACGGGACGACAGGCCGCGGACGGCCGCGAGCAATGCGTCGGCCGTGGTGAATCGCTGCTTCGGATCGTGTTTTAGGCATCGCAGAATGATGCCGTCCAGGGCATCCCCGGGAGGTTCATATCGAAAGCTATCGGAGGGCAGCTGACCGTAGCGGGCTTCGTGCAAGACCATGCCGAGGGCGAAGAAGTCGGCGGTGGGTCCGGTGTCTTCGCCGGATAGCTGCTCCGGCGCCATGTAGGCCAACGTGCCGGCAATGGCTCGGCGCTCGCTCAATTGGCTCAGGTCGCTGAAACGCAAGGCGGTGCCGAAATCCGCCAGCTTGGCCAAAGGCAGGACCGACAACTCGGGATTAGAAGCCGCCAGCGGTGGCCGGGCGGCCAATAGAACGTTTTCTGGCTTGAAGTCTCGGTGCACCACCCCTGCCTGATGTGCTGCGCTCAGGGCGGCGGCCATATATTCCGCCAAGGACAAAACATCGCCAACGGGCAGAATC